TTCTAATCTAGCAGAAAATACATGTTTTATCTGGAGTTAAATCCCCAGCAATGAGACATTTTAAACTTCAATCATGGGTACAAGAATCTTAAAATCAATCCAAAAGCGAACAGTCAGCCAGTAAAGCTGCCAAAACTGGAGGGGTGTGTGGTCATTGTATGCACAAATTCAGACAGTAAGTCTGAGCTTTAAATGTGTGGCTAATATTAAACTTGGACCTATGGAAGCCAAGAAGAGTGATGCACTTGTGCTGCTCCACACCTGAAGGCCTCAGAGACGTGCTGCGTGAGGAAGAATGTTCTTCTAGATGGCATCATCATCATCTTCATTGTCGTCATGTCTTAATTAAAGGGTTCTTGTGTGTGTTCTTCTGTGTTCTTGTGTTCCTGCAGGAACCAATCCAGAGTCAGACAGATGCACGCTGCTGTCAAACTCAACGAGGTCATCGCCAATAAATCCCATGATGCTTGGCACAGCCTGCATAGTGTGCCAGGACACTCAAAGAACCTCGTCTCATCTCATCTCATTTTTTACTGTCATGAAAACTGTTTCCTTTTCACTTCACACTGTATGAAGAAACGCCAACACAACTCCTTACTGTTTGACCCAATTACATTGTTCTGCTCTGGTCAACTATAGTGTAGCTACTTTTAGTTACCATTCTACTAGGCTACTATGATTTTTTTTAGCCACGGTTGTGCTAATTTTAGATTACAGTCACTGTATGATCCGGTCCTTCCATTAAAACATGAAAGGAATAGTGCAGGCTTTAACAAGCACAACAAGAAGAAAATTGCATCCTAGCATCTCTAGCACATTCAGCAGTATAATGTTCATTTGTTATATGATTAATAGAAAATTATAGCAAGACTTAGTCTTAATTGTTTTTATAAAAGTAAATTAAAACATTTTATTTGGTTTAAACAAAGCTCGGGGGTAAATTATGTCAAAGTGAGTTTGTGTTTGAAAATATTGTAGGTTTATTCTATAAGTATGACAAAAATTGTGTTGGGTCTCCAGGATTTCTCAAAGGGAAAGTTAACAAATGAACTGTAATAACTTTATATTTATGTCATTGATTTTGTGTGAATAAATTATTTAGAATAATTAAATAAAAACTTATTTAACATTCTGGATTTGTAGCGAGCATTGAAGCTACTATTTTAAAGACAAGGAACTACAATTAAAGTAATTTAAAGTACATTACAAAATATTTATAGTTATTACTAAGAATAAATATTTTTGAACAAACAGAAAAAAATCACAATGTTGAATATTCACAGTAAAAAATAATCCGACCGATTGAAATTATGATTACAAAGAATTAAATGGATTGCATTTCATTTTGTCTGAAAACACTCTTGGTGAGTTGTAGTTCCGGGTCTGTCCACAGTGTGGCGGTGGAGCTGTTCGTGCTCGTTGACTTGTCTTTGTAAWCGAAGAAGAAGAACCGGTGGGAAATTTGACATTGCGGAAATGTCTGCTATACATTTGTCTTAAAGTTACCCATATTCACACRAAATGGACCGTTATGTTTTGGTTTTATCATTTTGCCAAGCTTCTGACCACTCGACTGATGATTTCAGATGTAAGTTTTTTTTTATTTTAAACGACGGCATTTATTGAGCTAAACAATTGGTTTTGCTAAACATCGTTAGCTGTTCAAGTTGATGCTATTCTTCTAGCTTTTGTTCATCATATTTCGAAGTTACACTTTTATTGACAAAGTGTATATGTTTTTATTGTAGTTCCGTTTTGTACTTTCACATGTAATGTAATATTGATTTGACAATAAAAGTGAAAGTGTCAGGATACAAATCTCATTCACATGGTAAAAATATGTCAAATGAGTACAGGCATACATACATACACTACAAACACAATCGTACTGTAGCTAAAGCATCATTATCAAGGTACAGAACTGCGTGTTAGAACTTTTAAAGTGCTTTTACTTTAAAGACAAAGTGATTAGTAATAGTTTTTTTTTTACTATATGGAAAAATTTGTTAGAAAACAAATCTTTGTTTAAAAAAATAATTTTGCCAATGGTTTTTAAATTAAGCCTGTCTCATTGTTTGCAGGTTTGAAAGCACTTAAAAATATTTATGACAGACTTGTAAGCAACTGGACTCAGGAAATAGTAAAACGGATTTCTGCATTTCCAGGTATGTTACCTTTTTAACAGATGACATTTTAATGCGTGAAAGCTTTCCCTTACCTTCAGCTTCTTGTTTTCTCAGCTTCCTCCCTGAGCGGCGGCCCGGCAGCTCCGAGGTGGTACTTTGCTGTTCAGGCTTGTCAAGGAGCATCACAAGTGAGAACCAGGCTTCATTAAGGACAACTCTACAAAAAACTATTTTTCAAAATAAAATAATTTAACCGTTAGCTGTATAAGCACAAATCAAACAGTTTACCAAAACGGATATGGTGTTTTTCAGTTAAATTCATTAAACCTGGTAAATCTGATCAAGTTAATGTCATGGTGAAGAAAATACTTCAGCTGTTGGGTTCATTACTGTCTTTGACTTATTACAAACTAAAAGTCTGTCTAAAATGTTCTAATTATTACTTTAATTATTATTTGTTATCTCCAAAGGTGCTACTAAACCACATCTAAACTTCTAATAATAAAACAAGATTATTTCAACATTTTTTTTGTATCTAATATTTTAAAATGGGTTTTAAAGGAAAATCAAAGGTATATATTATTCACAAATTCAAACAGTTAATTTATAGTTAGAAAAGGGTTTTATGTTATGCACACTTTCTGTGTAGTTTTGCAGCTCAGAGTGGGAAGAACTGGGGACAAATCAGCAGAAAACGGACACAGAGGAGGAAAGGCTTACTGTTGTTGAGGAATGTCTGACATCGCTGAAAAACCAGGAGACAACAAACCAAGAGGAAGACCACCTGTCGCTGCCAGAGTGAGGGCTGATTGATTATTTATTTATTTATTT